CACGATGATTTTTGCCTCTCTTGTGAAAGCCTGTGGAATTCGCAGTTGTACCACATAATTCCAGTATTGCCTACCTGATTAGAGGCCGATTTGTTCTCTAGTTGAGTTGCATAGTTCATCCCTGAACCCTTCAGTGCCTCACACAGTGCCTGAAACAGTAGGCACTAAAGAAGGACGAGGAGGATGAGGAGGTAGAAGAGGGGAAGAGAGAGAGAGAGAGACAGAACCTTGTATTCCTTGTATTAAATGAATGAATAAATAAAAACGGGAGAAGTGGCATGACTTGATGACTTGTCTCTCTCACTTGTCTGCAGACTGCTCAAGCTCAGAGACATTATCTAGGACTTTCCTAGTCTCCCAAGTGTTTGGTGAGTGTTTGCTGAAAAACTGACAGCCTGTTCTGTGCCAGGTGCCACAGGCTGTAGTAGCCATCAAGGTCCTCCCACCGCCCTCGGAGGTGTCCCTCACTGCTCCTCCAGCCTTCCTAGAGAGCAAATCTACCACAAACATTACTCTGAGGCTCCACTTCGGCAAGGGAAGGCTCCTTGTAAATGACCGGGCTACCCCTCCTCTGGACAGTGGCAGGCACTTCCTGTTTGGGGTGGAAAGGAAGCAGACAGTTTCCTGTTAGCAGGTCTTTTGAGCAAAGCTGCAGATCCTGAGCAGGTTCTGGCCCAGCCTTTCAGGCCAGATGCCTGGCAGTAAGATAGCCTTTATGTGGAAGGGAAGAAGGGCACAATGCCAAATTGGCCAGGCTTTTATTATGCTCCTTGCAAGTCTCCTGGGTCCTGGTGTGAGTAAAAAACAAACCAGAAGAGGCTGACACCCTGCAAACTGTGATGAGGGTTGGGGGAGATGGGATGGATCAAAGCCAAAGAGAGCACTGCCTGGTGAGTAGGTGCTCCTGTGACTATCTTAGGGCAGGCTTGTGTATGTTTGGATGTGAGCACACTCAAGTGTGAACCTGTGTGAAAAATGCACGTGTGTGTGCACTTGTTTCTTTTTTTTTTTTTTTATCCTCACCCGAGGACATTTTTCCATTTTTTGTTCAGATAGAGTGGGAGGGAGAGAGAGAGAGAGAGAAACATCGATGTGAAGGGACACATCGAGTGGCTGCCACCCGCACGACCAACCAGGGCCGGGGACAAACTGCAACCGAGGCACGTGCCCTTAGGGGGAACTGAACCCGGGTCTCTCTAAACCGCAGGCCGACGCTCCAACCGCTGAGCCAAACCGGCCAGGGCTGCACTTGTTTCTGTGCACTCAATACCCAGCACTTGATAAAATTTAACATTTATTAATTGTCTAGTTTGCTCCCCATAGCAAACCAGGGTACTAGAAAAGGCAGGAATTATTGTTGCCCCATTTTAAGATGGCAGAAACTCAGAGAGGTTAGTTGACTTGCAAGTTTCAACAGAGTATGAAAAAGCCAAGATTCAAACCCAATTCTGTCTTGCTCCAGATTGCTTGCTTTTTCCAGTCCCATATGAGCATGTGCATGTGTGTGTATATACTGGTAGGGAGGTAGGGAGGTAGGGAGGTATACTTGTGAATGTGACCCAGATTGATGAGACCACATCCACATGTTCTGGAGAGAGGAAATTTCTGTTTCAGAGGCAGAAGTGATCGCTAGAAAATCAGGACTTCAAGAACTGAATCACAGCTAAAAATGCACAGAGGTTATGGGTCACTAATGAAGGCAAATTGTTACAGCTAGAGACCTCAAAACTCTGTGGAAAGCCTCCTTTCAGCTCTCCCAAGCTAATTTCATGTCTTCATTATTCCCCTTCTTATTCCTATTATTGTAGTTTTTGGAGGGTGATCATTCTGTTAGTGCCTTTCTTTGAAGCCCAGAATTCCTTCTGATAAAATCTGCTTTGTGTTCTGCACACTTCCTGGGGAGGAGGAAGGAGCAGAGACAAAGTTGATTGTTTCTCATTTATTAAGAGAGAAACTGAGGCCCGGAGGGGCCTTGTCCAGGTCTGCACATCCTGCCTGATTCAAGAGGTCCTGGTCAGGAAGACGACTCATTGGCCAGCTGTTGCCTTCTGTCAGAGAAGAAGGAATGGCCCAGGCAGCTGCCAGCCTGGGCAAGCAACATGCCCAAGCCCTGGCTTGAGTTCCACAGAAGTCCACTCCACTCTGGGAAGGCTGGGAGATACTGTGGATGTGAACTAAGCCAAATGCAGGAAGAGAGAAGGAAGGGAAGCAGCTGTCTTAGAAGAAGAGATCTGAAGAGAACTGCCAGCCTAGCTGGGTCAGGACTGCCTGCCCAGCCAAGATAGAGAAGGAAGAACAGAGCTGGATCCTTGGAAAACCTAGTACTATCTTTCTCTTGAACATTGGTATCTAGTATTTAGTGATTAAGTAGGTCTGGAGTAGGGCTCTAGAATCTGATTTTTTTTTTTTTCCTGTATTTATTTTAGAGAAAGAGGAAGGGAGAGAGAAATAGAAACATCAATGAGAGAGAACATCATTTGGCCACCTCCTGCGTGCCCCACACTGGGGATGGGGCCCACAACCTGGGCATATGCCCTGACCAGGAATTGAGCCTGCGGCCTCTTGGTGCATGGGTCAACACTCAACCACTGAACCACGCCAGCTGGACTAGAATCTGATTTTTAATGTGTGCCTCCAGATGAGTCAAAGCAGATGATTCAAGAATCACATTTTATAAATTTGACTTGAGGAAAGACAGTATAATGTTTAAAGGTGTGAGATCTGGACTTATACTCCAGTTCTGAACCCTGACTCCATTACTAGATTTGTGACTTTGAACAAGTAATATCTCTCTCTGTGCCTCAGTTCCCTCACCTTTAAGACAAGGATTGTCTTAATAATACTTATAATAGTAGCTGCAAAGATTCAATGACATAACGTGTGTAAAGCACAAATTTATTTTTGCCAATGGATCTAGCAACCTTACCCAACTCCCCTTTAGAATCTCCCTCCTCCAGGCCCACCACAGAACTTCACTTGAACCTGTAACTGTCAGTCTGTTCTGGCCTTAGCTGAGAACCATTGTTACAGTCTAACCTGCTAAACTGAAAGCTCTCTGAAGGTAAGGCTCAGGTCTTGTCCACAATCTCTGGGACTCCAGTCCAGGCAATAACTCTTTTTATAGATGACAAGGGTACCCGCGGAAAGGGTGATGGGCAAAGAAATCTGTCCTCAAATCTACACCGCCAGCTGAGTCCTGGCACAGTGATGGGCCATTTAAATGCGCCTTTTTCTCATTGGTCTGCCAGAGGAGCATCTGTTTATAATTGACTTACCAGAATAAATGTCCACTTTTCATTGGTTGGGAGGTGAGTGGGCCTATTCCAATTACTCCACCCACAGAAACTCCTGTTTCCAAAAAGGCTGTCTAATCAAAGAGGAGCCTTTAAAAAAAATTCTTCCATCAGTCAGGCTGGTGTGGCTCAGCGATTGAGCATTGACCCATGCACCAAGAGGAACTATCCAGTTCGATTCCCTGTAAGGATACATGCCCAGGTTGTGGGCCAGATCCCCAGTGGGGAGCAAGCAGGAGAGGGCCAACCAACGTTCAATGTTTCTCTCTCTCTCCCTTTCACGTCCCCTCTCTCTCTAAAATAAAAACAGGGGGAAAAAACTTTAATAAATAAACAAACAAACAAACAAATCCATCCTCCATCAGAGTGGCACCTTTTCCTAAATAACAAAACATTCTATGTGTTGATAAACTTTCTGAGGACCTAAGTCTTAAGATAAGAACACTTCATTATATTTGTTTAGCACTGTATAAATTCCAAATTACTTTTACTTACATCAGCTCATCTAATCCACACAATTCCAAGAGATGGGTGTCACTATGCCATTTGTAGTTTACAGATTAGCAACCTGAGATTAAAAGAGAGACAGTAACTTGCAGTTACTAAGGCAGATAATGAAAACAGTTTACTTTTGCTCAGTATGAGTTTAGCTGAGACTTGCATGTGAATCGTTTTACTCCACCTTTATTCACTACAGTTGTGTGGGATCCGTAAAGCCAGGCTCTTTACACTCATTTTCTCTTTTAACCTTCATGCAACTCCAGGAACAAATATCATTTGTTCTCATTTTATTGATGAAAAAATTGACGCTCAAAGTACTTAAGTCCTTTGCCAAAGGTCACAATGTTTGCAGGCTACCATTTATTAAATGCATACTTCATAATGCCAGGCATGGTTCTGAGTTACTTACAGGCATTATTCTCTCATTAAATGCTCCCTACAATGACATGATTCTGCCTGGTATCCTCATTATCTCGAGTTAGTGATAAGAACAATCGGTTCAGAGAGAGTGATTGACTTGCCTAAGCAGCAAGTAGTTGAGGCAGAATTCACATAGCTAGTGAAAAAGATTTGAAACTCAAATTCGATTCTTCTAACCCCGGCCAGGGCTCCTTCTCTCACACTCCTGGTTCTTGCTCCCAACCAGCCTGGCTGAAACTATCAGTACCCCTCAGGGAGGCCGGGATCCCTCTTATAGAAGTCATAGGGTAGCTATAACCGCCAGAAGACCCATGTTCCCTCGCCTTCTTCAGCGAGATGTGGATCAACTCGAAGTGGCGGACGAGAGAACGGGTCCGCAGGGAGGCGGCGGGCACCAGGCGAGGCCGTACAGCCTGCGGAAGAGGCTCCAGGACCGCGGTGCTTTCCAGCAACCAAGTGGAGTGGGTGTGGCCGGAGTGCCGGGCTCCCGCCCCTCCTCCCTCCCTTCCTCCCTTGCCTTCTAAGTCCCCGGGCGGGCAAACCACTGAGCAGACACTGCCGGAGCTGTACAACCTCGGACCGGCTCCCGGCGAAGCGTCCCAGCGGAACGGCCCAGCGCGCAGAGCATGGGCACTGGCGAACCCCTGGGACCTTCCGTCTCCGCGTTGGGCAGCGCAAAGCCGCAGCATCCGCGGAGCCCCAGGCACTGCTGACCGCGGGCGGGCTTCCCCGCGCGCCGCAGCCCCACATTCCCCACCGCACCCCTCCGCGCTCCGCAGCAGGCGGCGAGATGGCCGCGCGTGTGGGCCTCCTGCTGCGCGCCCTGCCACTGCTGCTGTGGGGCGGCCTGGACGTGGACGCCCGGCTCGCGGAGCGCGTAGGCCAGGAGCTGCGCAGGGAGGCAGAGGTAAGGGGTATGTGCCGGCCGGAGTGAGTCTGTGTCCCGAGACCCGCCAGAACTTCACATTCAGGCCACCCAGTCATCCCATTTGAGCTGACAACCTGCGTTATCCTCCCCCTGTCCTCAGCACCCTTCACACTTGCACACAAAGAGCCTGTGGGCAGCATCTCCCTCCCGCCCCCCATGTCAGGGCTGGAACCACACAGGCACGCGGATCTGCATGGAGTCTCCCGGATGGGAGAAGGAGGGAGAGACAAGATGGGACAGACAGGCAAGAGCTCAGAGAACGGGAGCCCCTGCACCCCAGTTTGGCACGGAGCCACTACCCCTCACCGCCTAAGCAAGGGAGACTTGGTAGTTCATTCATCAGATGCCCCAAGCCCTCCCCAAGTGTCAAAGACTGTAAGGCCCCCAGATTGGTGAGGTGGAGAGGGTACCGCCGACTGGGCTGGGACACTGGTGACCGAACTGGCTTTCCTGGGCGGTGGCTCCACTAACCAGCTTGGGCAAGTCAGCACCCTTCAAGCTCAGAACTAGTTCCTTCAACTCTGAAATGGGTGAGAGTAGTATACTATTCTCAAGAGTGGCTTCTGAGGAGCTTTAAACAGTGCCTCTTGTCTGAACTTAAAAAGGGGCAGGATGGTGGAGGTGAACCTGAAAGATGTCCCATTTCAGTGTCCTCCTTTGGACTATCCGCTTGCTATAGGTGGCATAAACGAGAACTTTTTGTGAGGTAGGAGTGGGGTGGACTCAGGACATCTATTTTCTAGATTAAGGTGGTTGTAATAATACACCAGTATTGTTTCTTTCTTCCCCAAAGAAGCATTTCTGTCTGTGTTCTTAGCTCTTCGCAGGAATGGCACTGGGGTCTCCACTATTTTAAGGCAAAGAGAAGCAAATAAGTTCTAAATTACTGAGCCCAGCACACTGTCATGAGACTCTTGCTCACATAAGAGCAGCATTCCTTAAAAAGATAAAAGAAAAAAAAGAGCATCATTCCTGCTCTAAAACTGCCAGTTGAGAGTTTTTCAGTATCCTCCTCTCCCCTTCCCCAGAAGAGGCAGGCTAATTTGGGAAACCTGAGGAGGGCCCTCTTGAAATCCCTCTTCCTTCCATCAGCCAGCTTATATCGCTGCTCTGGAATACCTGGGAATGACCCTGCGTCAACAAGAATGTCCTTTCTCCAACTCCCTCACCCCCACCCCTTCCAAGCACTGGTCTCTTGCTCTGTGCTCTTTGCTTATGGACATTTAAGAATCACTTTGTTTCTCTGAACTTAGAATCTTACAACATCAAGTGCAGAGTCCTTGTGGCCCCAGGAGAAAACTTCTGTCTACCAAGCCAAGTCTTGTTAAGAGTCCCACCCCACCTCCCCCCAAGTCCAGGTCCCAGGCAATCCTTGGCAGGAAAATAGAGACAGTATCTCAGCCGCTCATGCCTATGATGGCCTCAGATGGAGAGAATTTCATCTTGGGGTGTGCTTGGGAAATGTAATATCTAACAGATTGAGTCTCTTTCAGTCTATTTAACATAACTGGGGAGAAGGGGATTTTCAACTCTGAAAACAAGAAATATTTTAAAAGCATATAAAACTCGAAATGTATAATGGATGCATAGTCTTCATATGCCTATGCATGTACACACGTGTGCATATATATGTAAATTGGAATGTGTGTGTATGTGTCAGTATGTCTCTATGTGTTTCTGTTTGTGATCAATTGCATGATCTTCATTGTCAGACAGACCTATGTGCAAACCATAGATTTAACCTCTATGAACCTCAGTTTTCTTCTCTGTACAAGGGGGATTAATAATGCCTGTTTCACATGATTGTGTGGTTTCGTCAAGATCAGCACAGTCCCTAGTACATAGAAAGTAGTCTATATAAGAAGTTGCTCTGAATGTTGTTAGAATACATATCATTATTTTAGAGAACAGAGCTTCGGATTCAAGTCCTGATGTAGTAATTAGCTCTCCTCAAACAATGACACAGGACAAAATACATAAGGCAACTATTTTCAGCATTGGACAACAGACAGCACAAGGCTGTAACTCCTGAGATGGTGTTGCAGTTACTATGGCTACATTACGTTACCCTGAAACTTAGTAAAGTAAAACAACCATTTATTATGTTCATTGATACCATGGGTCAGAATTCCAAACAGAGCACATCAGGGCAGCTCATCTCTGCTCTACAACATCTGGAGATGGAAGCATCTGAAGGCTGTTTACTCACCTGCCTGGTAGTTGATGCTGGCTGTCAGCTGGGGGCCTCAGTTCTTCCCCAGGATCTCTCCATGTGGGCTAGTTTGAGCTGCCTCCAAACATGGTGGCTGGGTCTCCAGGATGAGTGTTCTGAGAAAGAGAGAAGTAAAAGAAGCTGTGCCCTCCTTATGACCTAGACTAGGAAGTTAGGAGCAGTCACAGCCCCAGGTCAAGAGGAGGGAACATGGACCCCACAATCAGTGGGAGGAGTATTGAAGTCACATTGTAAGAAGAGCATGGAAATGGGAAATGCGGTCATTTAGGGAAATACAACCATCACAGACAGGAACGCACGGAGTAAGCGCCCTGATCACTCCAGCTCTTTGCTCCTGGTCAATTCCCTGATTGCAGCACAGAGCTGGACCCCAGAAGAGCAGAGCTGTCCTACTGAGCTCATGGGCAGAGGTCAGATTTCAGAACATAGAAGGAAAGAAATAATATAAACAAGCTACGTAATTTTTTTTTTTTAATTTGCCGGGAAGGGGGAGGGTCAGGGGAGGGTCTGGGAAGTGGAGAGGGGAAGGAGCAGGGAGAAGGGGCACTGGGGCTCTGGGAAGGGGCCCAGGGAGCGGAGGGAAAGGGGCCAGACGGGCCCAAGCTATGTGAACTTACGTCATTTTCTTCACTTCTCCAGGCTGCAGTTTTCTCAACTGTGAAATAAGGGAGTTAATTTTCTTAAATGACTTTTCGGATGCTCTCTAGTGCTAACATTCTTTGATTTTGTTGTGTTTGTGTGCCTGTGCCTATGTGTGTGTGTGTGTACATTTTATCTGCCTGTGTGCCCATGTCTGTCTGTCTGGATGTGTCTGTGTACCCACGTATCTGTGTGCATCTCTGTGTGCAGAGCTGCATGTGTCCCCTGTGTGCACACAAAGTAATAAAATTGAGAGCTTTCCGGAGTGGGCTTTGCCTGGGAGGAGACTGCTTACAAAGCTGCATTATGAACAAGTTCATTGTTGCCCACTCAGAAAAACTAGGGCTTCTCATAACACTAGTGAGTAAGAAAGGCCTCCACTGCTGAGTTGCAAGATTGAGGGTTAATGAATGACATCACCCTGGCCCCACTGTCATTCCCAGCCAGGCCCTACCCTGTTCTTGGGCGACACAGACTATCCCCAGGGATCAATCTACCATGTTTTGCTCAGACCTTCCTTAGAACTACAAGGCAAGTATGTCTGGGACCTGCCTTCCCCTCATTGGTCTACGCAGATCTGCACAGCTACTCCGGGTGTGCCGTACCACAGGAGCTGGGGAGTTTGTTTCTCCAGGGAGACATCGGAGCTTCTGTGAAATATCCACCCCAGATGCAGTGTCTGTTTCTCATACCCCAGAGCCATTTATTTGACTTTGTGTGAGTCAGAAACTCAGAAGCCTGGGTGTGGAAGCTGTTCCCAAGAGCTCAGCTCAGTGACTCATGGGTACAGGGTGAATAGAAGTGCAGAAGAGACTTTGAAGGGTCTCAAAGGAGCACAAGTTGGGAAAGCAGTTGTCAAGCCAGCTTGAAAACCAAGAAACCTAGTAAAAACTGCATGGTGGAAGCAGAAACAAAGAAGAGAGAGACAGGTGGACAACTCTCTCTAAACCAACCCTTGGTTAGGGCATTATTTTATACTTTAAACTTAGCCCCACAAGCCTAGTGAAGGTCATGGGTCCCTATCGCATGGTTTATGACATTATACAAAGCACAAGATGGGATCTGGATGGAGGCTGGCCAGCTAATCTTTTCCACCATCCTCAAGGACAGAATATAAAAGAAGGAGCAGGGAGTACAGTAAGAGGTATTAAAAGCCCCGGATGAGTGGCTCATGGGTTGGAGCATCGTCCTATGCACCAAAAGATTGTGGGTTCGGCCTGGCTGGTGTGACTCAATGGTTGAGCATCAACCCATGCACCAAGAGGTCACCAGTTTGATTCCCAGTCAGGACAGATGCCCAGGTTGTGGGCCAAATTCCCAGTGGGGGGCATGCAGGAGGCGGCAAATCAATGTTCTCTCTCATTGATATTTCTATTTCTCTTCCTTTCCCTTCCTCCCTCTCTAAAATCAATAAAGAAAAATTATTTTTTTTTTAAAAAAAGATTATGGCCCTGGCCAGTTTGGCTCAGCGGTTAGAGCGTCGGCCTGCGGTCCGGAGAGACCCGGGTTCGGTTCCCGCTAAGGGCACGTACTTCGGTTGCAGTTTGTCCCCGGCCCTGGTTGGTCATGCGGGTGGCAGCCACTCGATGTGTCCCTTCACGTCGATGTTTCTCTCTCTCTCTCCCCCTTCCTCTCTCTCCCTCCCACTCTATCTGTACAAAAAAAAAAATGGAAAAATATCCTCGGGTGAGGATAAAAATAAAAAAAAAGATTGTGCGCTGGCCAGTTTGGCTCAGCGGTTGAGCATCAGCCTGTGGACCCAAGAGTCCTGGGTTCAGTTCCTGCTAGGGGCATGTACCACAAAAAAACAAAACAAAACAAAAAGATTGTCGGTTCATTTCAGTCGGGGCACATACCCAAGTTGCGGATTCGATTTCCAATCAGGGTGCATGTTTCTCTTTCTCTCTCCCTTTTGTTCTCTCTAAAATCAATTAAAAAAACAAAAAGCAATATCTAGGTTACACCCAGACAGAACTTTGTGAATATGAAACTAGGAACAAAGGAAAGGAAGAGTAGAGAAAGGGAGTCGAACAGAGGAAATATTTTCAAAATATTGGAAAGCGGCCACGTTGGTCCCACTGCCCTGAGGCCTTCAGTAGACCCCAGG